ACGCCGAGGACATGCATAAGTTATGGATCTGGTTTCACCATTTATGACTTCCCGTCATCCCACATAGAGGCATGCTGATTGACACTGGTAGAAGATATTATCAGTGGAAACTATAATAAAGAATCTTCAACTAATGTTCTGGACGAAAGTGAGTTTTGTAGTTAATGCGTCTATTATGATGTTAGATTATTATGGTTATAGTAATTTATATTGGGGTATCAGCTTCAACTGCGTTTTTACTGCATCGAGCCACCCTCATTATTTTCCTGCGTTGACATAATGTCGGAGTATCCACACTTTTTGGTGTGAATGGAAAAATTATGAGAAAATTTTGGTAAATTCTCATTGGTTATTTCTGTACACTTGTAGCAGAATTCGTATGTAAACTCTTGCGCTTGTTGAAAATATTTTTTCCTTTTCAGATGAACGTTTTGCATTGGCACATCTCGGATGATGTGAGCTTTTCGCTGGATCTCGAAGGATACGAAAAGTTGCAATATAAGAATCCAACGCCACTCAGGTGAATAGGATGGAATTTTTGGGGAATTTTTGAGAATTTTTTGGGAAATTTTGTGGAAATTTTGAGGAATTTTTGGTGAATTTTGAGGATTTGGGGGGGGGGGGGAATTTAATGTTTTTAAAATTACTGTTATTGTAGTTGAAAAATATACACATGGTCAACTACACGTGTTGGTGATGACAATACTAAGGTCGCTCAGGATAGTAAGCTTCTGTCGTAAGCCACTTGCTACCTGGAGTGCCCCTAGGACCCCTACATCGGAGACCTCGGTTAGAAAAATATCACGCTTAACACATACACTACTCCAGGTTGTCAAGGCAGTCTGGCTTGTGTGACTAGCTTGGCAGCTTGAAGGACTCAGGTTGTCCCTTTGTGCCGGCAGCGATTGTGTCAATCGCTATTTCAAACCGGGCTTCGCCGAAAGACAACTCTCTGGCACGGTTTTAACCGCGGAGAAGCTACGTTTTTCCTGAGCATGAAATATCCGATACTCGCGATACGTTGTGAAATGTGAAATATATTTTTAAGTTAGTTAAGGGCCTGTCAGCGCCAACGCTTGACACGTTAAAATGCAGAGATACATGAGCGAGGATTCGAACCTGCGCACAGGATTTTGCGCAGATCGTCATCGATCCCGTGATCGATTTAGAGTTAGCTATTCACCGGCAAGTTGGGTTGTCAGAGCTCAATTCATTTTTTCCCTTGCCCATCTCGCCCGGAAGTCAATTGGCTCAAAGGCTTCAGGCAGAACAAGTCCGAGGACGTACGTCGTATATCCTACTCCCAGGCTATAGCTAGCTCAGCTCGGATCCACCGCGCTAAGTCTTTGTGTACTGCTGTCTCAGGGACTCTGTCCCTCTACACACTTGTTCGATCGCTGCGCACAGTGCTTCCAGTGCATGAACCCAAAACCTCTATACAGGCTTCAAGAATCCCGCTGTGAATGCACCAAGTCTATCAAGGTGCAACCAGCGAAAGGCCGCTTATCGACTCACATCAGCCTTCAGGGATTGGATTCTAAGCCAGACCCGCGATAAGTCCCGACTCCAGTGTTCGGGCTGCGGGTTTAGAGGTTTAAGGTTTAGTGCTCGGTGCACTCCTATCACCTCTCGGCTTCTCTCACTCTCTTCCCACGGTTCACGAGATCCGAGCGTTTGGTAGATTCGCATTTTATTACTAGTGTTTTTCATATCACTTTATTTTCGGCTGTATGCAGATACTCGGCTGATGATGTGAAGAGGATAGTTAAGTTCGCTAATTTGCTGGGCATAAAAGTTATTCCAGAAATTGACGTTCCTGCTCATACGACTAGTTGGACGAGAGGGTGAGTACTTTTTTCATGTTTGTGGCGTTTTCTCATTTCAATGGAGTTTCATCCTAGTGATGTGAAAAATATATTTCACGACTACTGCATAACCCGTTTTTCACAAAGTATTGCGCCACTTCACGTAAAACGGGTCGAGAAACTCCAATATTGCAGAAATTTATGTTTGTTTTCTGCGGTTGCTTGCGGTTTTCTGGTGGAAGTTTACACAGCGACCCATCTGGCTTTGAGAAATAACATTCCTTAGGATTTGATGACGATGGTGAAAATGTCATTAATTTGATGACATTTACACAGGAAAGTGATTGAAGAATATGGGAAATTCAAAATGAGTTTCCCCGACAACATTGACGATTTCCTCTATGTACGGAAGCCAATGAGAATTTTCCGGAATTTTCTCGCGATTTTCATGTTGCAGTAAACCATGTATATTCCCCCCAGTGCTGGTCGAAGTGAGTGAATTTACTAGGAGGATCATCCGGAGAAAATAAATTTGTCGAAAATTTTTCAAATTTTTACTTTTTTGATGCAAAAAATGTTAATGAATTTATAAAATTTTACATGATTTTTTGGGGTATCAACGTTGCGTGTGTTGTAGGTATCCATGGTTGACAGGAAATGCTAAATTCTGGATGGACCCTATAAGAGAGGAAACGAGGAATATGGTTGTTGATGTTGTGTCTAAGGTTGTGGACATATTCT